ACACACACACACACACAAACACACACACGCACACACAAGCACGCACTCACACGCACACAAACAAACAAACACACACAAACACACACACACACACACACACACACACACACACACACACACACACTCAAATTACAGTTTACATAAAATCTATTCATTTCCTTTCCTGAAAGGCTGTTACAGGAAGAAAACGTCGTCTACAATCATCGGTGCAATTCAACTCGCTCAGAAACTTAGAACGTACCGGTGTAACTACATTTAATGTTAGAATGATATTATACTCCTGGAGTCTGCTAACAGCTGCAAAAAGATTGAAGGGTCGATGATGTTTACCGGGTGGCAGAAGTGGTAGCGGCAGGACAAATTTCTTCTCCTCTGACAGACATGTCATTATATATCCATACTTGTTAAGTTGTTCAGACGTACATCTTGAAGATAAATCGACCTCTATATTGTGCCACTTTGTTCTATAGGCTATCCATGTGAAATGTTTATATAATATTGCATATTTTAAAAACAGATAGATAGAGAAATAGATAGAGAGAGAAAAAAAGAGATAGAGAGGAGGACAGAGAGATAGAAAGAGAGATATATACATTATTATGATTTTATATTGTTTATATAATACACACAGTGTGTGTGTGTATGTGTGTGTGTGTGTGTGTGTGTGTGTGTGTATGTGTGTGTGTGTGTGTGTGTGTGTGTGTGTGTGTGTGTGTGTGTGTGTGTATGTGTGTGTGTGTGAGTAAAACCTTTTTTTTTAGAATGTGGTTTCTATAGTCTTTGAATTAGGCTTCGAATTTTCGGAACTAAGATCAACAGAAACGTGTTTTCGTGGTAGACTTTTGAGACTTTCATGGCCAGAAAAGATATCAAACGAGGAGGTATTGGAAGAAGCTCAAGAGAGCCGCTCACTTATAAGAACAATTTAAAAATGCAGTTTCTAACACAATCACTAGCCATAAAGGTTTTGGTCTTCTTGCTCCCATTGGAAATTTACTAGGCAAACAAGGCATGGGTAAATGTAGAGAAAGCAGAGGCGTCGCGTGGGTTGCAGAACAGGTGGTGCATTATTGGAAAGTGCATAAATGGGCAATAGGCTTACTTGCTACTATTAAAATTGTAATGAGCGGTTGGCGGGCGCTCTGGTGTAGTCTGTTCTTTCTATTGTTTTCTGCGAGTCTCTCTGTGCGTGTTTGTGTGCGTGTTTGTGCGTGCGTATGTGTGTGTGTGTGTGTGTGTGTTCGTGTGTATGTGTGTGTGTGTGTGTGTGTGTGTGTGTGTGTGTGTGTGTGTGTGTGAGAGAGAGAGAGAGAGAGAGAGAGAGAGAGAGAGAGAGAGAGAGAGAGAGAGAGAGGGGGGGGCAAAGAGAGAGTGAGTGTGATTGATGACTAAACCATGTGAGTGTCTGATCGATCAGAAAAAGCCAGACTTGTAATGGAAACAGTACAATTTCTTTTACTTATCATACTACGTACAGGAAAAAAGCGAACATTTCTTGAGCTCAAAATCCTGCGGCAGATGAGGACCAAGCTCTTTTATGCGCACTTTCTCTTCTAACTGTAGCTGCTGAATGGCACAAGAAGGTACAAGAAGCAAAGCGTTAACGGGATTCATCTAGATTTCTAGAGAAAGTCAGTTAGAATCTGCAGGATATCCCATAATCTAGATCTATCGATATCTACAACTGTTCCAGGATGAAACCGCATAAAAGCTGCAATAAAGTGAAACAATACTACTAACAATTCACTGTGCTCACAATCTGAGAAGATTCAAAGATATCTAATTACTTCGGGCAGCACCAACAAGCAGACTCAATTTGGAAATTTCCCTTAACAGGACATGCTACACAATAGAGGGCGACAACAGTTTCGATACCTATTCTTCATTGAGTTACCGTAGACTCTACTTGTCTACTAGTGTAGTAGATAGACTAGCCGTAACTTGGATCAAATTTGTAGCTTGCACCAAATTGGTGCTGCGAACAGGAGTTTCACCCACCTTTCTTCTTGCGCGGGGAGAACGATGCATAGATTTATCTACAGTTACAAAAATAACTTTGGTGCAAAGATTTTGCTTGTTCCAAGCAGACACTACCGCAAGCGATGCGACGAGCATAAACCATCCTCGCTGTCTGTCTCTTCACTGGCGCACGCGCAGCCAGCGGGTGACGGGTTGCAAGGACGTAGGCTAAGTACTACTAGATCTAGTACTAGTATGTAAATCTAGAGCACTGACTGGTTAAGAACAATTAGAAAATGGGGGAGATGAAGGCCAGGGTTAGGTGGAGCGCTTGCACCAATTGCACCAATGGCGCCCCGCCACTGAGAGAAAGTTATGTGGAAAAGGCTGAACAGATTGATGACGAGAATGCACTAGAAAAAATATTATTATTATTATAGAACTCTTTAGAGCATACGAGCGGAAACATGAATGGAAAACTATAAGCGTCAATGTCCGTTTGAGATCAATCAGTTTAGATAGATAGACCTATGAACAATATACCTACTCTGCGTATTACGAAACTTATACTTAATCATTAGTTCTGCTATTCTCATAATTCAGAAACTAATTTGAAAATAATTGTCTTGTTTATCTACCATTCCGTTCTGAGATTATGAATTATTGTGCCTATATCTTATCGTCGTTTCCCATTCCGATCAAGGTGTAGGCCTACAATTATTTGATACAATGATATCTCTATTCTACTTAGTTCCGAAATACGGATGCTTTTTTCCTATGTAATTTCCTTTTCCTCCCTTCGCCGACTATTAATCTGATGTATTGAACATTATCTCCCTCCTTTTGTCTCTCTCGCTTTCCCATCATACCCTGTATTGCCCGAGCCTATGACTCTCTTTGGTCTTCCTTGTCCTTCTGGTATACTGTGACCTATCGACCTACATTTTGTTTATTCGTTCTTCTCATCCTTTGCCAATTGGTAAAGCCTATGTTATAATGTATTCCTTTTGGTCTCAATACGCTCATTTTCCTGCTGCCAATACTTATTTCTTCATTTCGGTTTCCAATCAATATTTAATTCGTTGTCTTATATACTATTCGCACATACTGTCATATGTAAAGTAGCGGCAAGGCGTTTTGCTGTACATGCAAAGAACGGGAGTTTGGTATCCCTTTCAGCCAGAGTTGGTTCTGGCAGTAAGGATCGAAGCAGCCCGCCTCCGAAATTATACTAAGTCTGGCTATAGGAGCGTAAAATGCATCCACTTAATTTGCTATAGCCTACATTAATTTCCTCATCTCAGCTGCCTCTCAAATTTGCAGTAGCATATTTATATAACATCACACCTGCCACTCAGTTTTCGGTTACATTTATTTCTTCTTCTTCCTTTTCTGTCAGGTCTGTAGTAAACTTTGGTGATTATGGTACCCCACTCCTTCCTGTTGTCTGTCGTCTTGATCGGCAGGATTTTTCTCATTGTGTTATTTGTTGCAAAGTTGTTAATGCCATTTTGTGTATGCTATCTTTGTCCTTCATTTGCTCTTCGTTCCTTCTATATTTCCACACAGCAGCAGTTTTTAATCTATGTGGTTATAGAATCTGAATTGTCTTTTTCTGATGTTTCTTATTATTAGCTTTTACAACCTGTCGTTCGGAGCACTCCTCTATTAGTTGTCCTCTCTGTAAATGGGATTCTGAGCATTTTCCTTAAATACCACATTTAGATGGCTTCCAGTCTTCTCTGTTTGTCCTTGTAGAGAGTTTTAGAGTCCAGCGTAGCGTCCATACAAACTGATCGCACACGCGTCCGCTCTTAGGCTTCATATTTTTGTGTTCACTGTTATGTTTCTGTTTGATTGGGCAGATTTCACCTTGCTCAAATTAAATTTGTTAATAGATTTTTAAAGATATTGCAATCCTCTTTTTTAATCTAGGTGTCACTTTTTGCATGTGGTGTAATTGTGCAACCAATGTATTCAAAGCTGCGGACCTGATTTATTTTTTCGTTCTAAGATACTAGAACGTTTTGAAAGTTAGTATGTCATTTCTCTTACTTGGCGGTTGGGGTATAACCCTTTCTATTCGCCTTTAATGATTTCTCTGTTTCTTTCAATAGAATCACCAGATGCTTTATTTATTATAGTCACTTTAATGCACTCGGTTCGTTATACCCTACTTCTCACTTTTACGCGCGTGGTTGGAGGGCGCCACTGGTAGGTTATACTTCTTTGTTTCCCTCTGTTATTTCTGTCTGTCTGTCTGTCTTACTTTTCCCCACCACTAAATGACCATTATTGGGACGACGGGCTTTTCTTTACCAAACAAACAAAATCAGTTTAACCGCCTCCTTACATCATCGTGTTATCTCCCTTAACCTTAGAGGCTATGATGATCAACATGAAAATGTATAATTTGTTTCTTTCCCTACCTCCCCCCCCCCCCCCACCCCCGTCCCATGACCCAACAGCCTACTTGAAGACCCAGAGATCCGTGGTACGTTCATGACCTTCCGCGACAAGACGGTGGAAGAGCTCAAGGCCAGCACTGCTCTCCGCTCGCACGTGCTGCGCGTGATGGGCGCCGTTGAGAAAGTGGTGGCTCGCCTGGACAACAAGGAGAAGATGGTGGCGCTCCTTCACGACCTGGGCCAGAGGCACATGAGCTACAACGCAACCGGAATTTCTCGATGTAAGTTCTCCTGGGTTTTTTTCCTATATAATATCATTGGCTTGTTAGGAGGGTTTTGTTGTTGTGCTTTGCTTTGGGGGAACCATCTCTTTTTGGTCTCGTCCTTTAATGGAAACTCACACACACACACACAAGCACACACACACACACACACACACACACACACACACACACACACACACACACAAACACAAACACACACACACACACACACACACACACACACACACTTTGTCGTTGTATTTTTGGGGGGTTCTTTCGGCATGGGAATGGGGTGTCAGTGTAAACACAAGAGTGTTCTGTTACGTTCTCTGATGTCTGAACTGTCCACTGAGTGTCCAGCTCAGTACAAAATGAAACTCAAAATGTCAAGTGAGATTGTCTTTTTCCTTTTTTGTTTGTTTAAGGGTTGATGTTGGGATTTTTCTTAGGGAGGTATTTGTTTTTTGTTGTTTTTGATGACTAAGTGGCGTCACACTAATTATACAAAAATAAACTCTAAAGTTCCTCGGAGTTAAGCAAAATCAGAAGGCGTGCACCAGCTCATTTTGAATTATTGTTGCATGAAATGAAACCATAAAATAACGAAACTGTATAGTCACGTGAGAATTGCGTGTGAAACAAATATCCCTCTGAATTGTGAATGTATTGTACAAATCAACTAGCATTTTGCTGCAGGCCTGACAGTAATAATTGATAATAAGGCAATTTGGAAAAGCCATTATGCCTTTTTTCCTTGTTTTCCTTTAGTTAACAAGCCTACTTTAATAGGCAGCCTTCTCAACAACAAAATTTCTCCCTTTTTAAATTGAGGTGTCATAAACAAAAGAAGCCCTTCACTTCGAATCTTATGAAACTGTATGATTATTTTTCCTTCTGATCATTGTCAGGGTTTGACAGACAGGGGTCAGGGTCGCAGTTGTTACACTTGGTATTGATGTTGTGTATTTTATGAAAGGTCATCTCCTTACCCAGAACAGAGTAAATAAAGCAGCTAGTCTGGTAGCTTTCGCCATTTAACGTCTTTCCAAATTGCTCACGTCATCTGTTCCTTTTGGCTGAGGGCAAGACCTCCCCCTCGCAAATAATGTACTGGCGGTGTTCACAAAAATGTTTATTCTTTTGTTGTGTTGATTTTTTACTGGGTCAGCCCGTTTCGGTCTAGCCCAAGACGTCAGCGGTGTTGTCTTGGGAACGGGCTCGACTTTGGTTTTATTTTTCATATATTTTATCACACTTTTTTGCCAATAATTATGCACCGTGAAGCTGACGATTTTCAAGCTATAAACAAAGTTTCTGTATCTTTTTTTCTCGCGTTTGGTTTAAATTATAACACATTATGTGTTTTAACGAGTCTATCACGCTTCTAGATCTTGGCAAACGTTGGCTTACATGATCTGTCTCGGGACGAATGCGTCATGTCTTCTCTTAATTCTTTTGTTATCTTTTAAGCTATTCTTTCTTCAGTCTCATCTTGCCGTACCTGTTCGGGATGTAATTGTTTTCACCAAGGCATGTTAAATCATTAATAGGAGGAACTTCCAGATCAAGATCATCCTCTGAATGGCCCTTGCTGTGGCCCATACAAATATCTGAACAACAAAGATAGAGTAGAATTGATCCGGAAAACGGACAACTGCGTTGTAACGGTTTTCCTCTCTGGCTGAACTAATGGCAGCCTCATCTGAAAATAAAAAGGATCGGTCAAATATTTATATCCCCGTTTTAAAAAGAGATTTTAACAATTTGTTTAGAAAACCGGTAAGCAGTTGAAGTATTGTAGAAAACGTAGACGCTCCCAAGAGATTGCCGAACACGTGAAGCAGGCAGGGCATAATTATTGTGAGAATGCGTCAGTGCTTGCAGATATGTTTAATGTAAATTAGTTGTTTTTACAACCCCATCGACACAGTTTATGGGATTTAGAAGGCGAGCGTTGACCCAGTCTGTCAAGGTGAACCCGGACTGAGAGGGATACATTGTCCCAGAAAAGAGATCAAGATGTTCGATTAATATCCCCCCCCCCCCCCCCCCCCCAATGGAAATCGAAGTCAAATATTCTGCGTACGACTGTGAGGCGCATAACCACTGCACCGTAGACAACGGCAAAATGCGCCCAGGGTTAGCGAGAAAATACATAATGTGTTAAACTAAATGGCTTTCTAAAATAACAAGATTTAAAAACGCATAACGCGTAGGCATGTAGAGTTGTTGAGTAACTAAAGCATATTTTGAGTTTTACTGGCCTTTCAACAGAGCAGCAGAGAACAGTTATTAAAGTAGATCTCCAAACTTGACTAGATTTCACCTTTAGAACAGAGACAATTGGGAAGAGAGCCTTGACAAGCGCTCTATTTTGTATTGGAACCATGGATATCCAGTTCATAACACAGCTTGATACAAACGGTGCGCGCCATGTTGGCGAGTGTAGAAGAAAATCTGACGTAGGCATTTTATTTTCTCTTAAGTCACATTGCCAAAAAAGTCTGCTCCCATTGGCCGCGTGTTGGATTTCCCTTCCAAATATAATGTATAGAGACAAAATAAGATATCAAAATGGCAAGTTTGCTGAGAGTGCTGAGGTTAAATTAGGTGTAGCTATTTGACGCTAATTGGATGACAGTACCCTGCCTGAAGTTACCAATAATACAAGATGCTGGTATTTTTCTACGTCAACTTTCCCCCGAGGGCAAGGAATGGTGCGATTCTCAAGTCCTACTGGAAGTAATTGTTGCGTCTCAGACGATATAAAATCGATTGCGTTCTAAAAAAATTATGTGGGCGACAAAAGAGCCTGAGGCAATAGAGGTGGGTTTTTTCCCTCTGCTTTTTTCACTGTGTAAATGTCTAAAACAACCGAAAATGATACTAGGAAGAGACTATCATGACCTCAAATTCCTTTTAAGTGGAGAGGAGACATTTACTGTACGCAGACTTCTTTTTTTCTTCTTGTTTTTAATAACGCGTTGATTGCTTGACATTGCTACCTGTAGTCTCCTTCCTTTAAAAAAAAATATTCCACAGTGTGTGTATTCGTCTTGGTTGCTACGATGTCTTCCTGCGTGCCGCCATGTATGCGGTCAAGGCTAGCCGTTGTTTACTTTTACAAAGTCACTGTAACCAGAGGGATTTTAAGGCTGGCGTCGCGTTGGTAAACCCTCGAGTGCATTTCAACCATGATGGAATAGGCCAATAAGCTTCAAGCTCTCCTGCCCCCCCCCTCCCCAACCCCTTCTTCCTCCACCAATCTGTCCGCCCTCCCAATCCACCTTCTCCGCTAAACGTTAATTATGAAAACTATTCTCATAACTATGCTTGTTATCGTATTCTGTTAGCTTTGATCTGATGCATAATAATTGATTAAGCTGGGTAACTTTCCAAAACAATATTCTAATGCCTAACTTTTCCATTAAATTAATAATTAAACCTATCCGCTAAACAGGGCTTTTTATCATGTTATGTTCATATTATCAATATTAATCTGATGCTTTTGAAAAACTCGGTAAGTTTTGTATACCAATTTCTTCTCACTGTGTAATATATAAATATTATATAGTTCTATGATCAGAAAACTGCGTCGATTTAATGAGCTCAATCGATCTTGTTTGTTTGTCAGGTGATATTTTAATGTTGTTTATTATCATTTCCTTACAATACTATTATAAATCTCAAAGAAACGGAAGACAGAAAGGCAAAAAGTGGACAGGAATTATTCAACTAACATACCTTGTTAGTGCATCTTAGATTAAAATTGAAACAAACAAGCGTTATATTGCTATCTGTTTAGGCGACATTAAAGCCAACTAAACAAACAAATTTTACCATTTTTAATGTTATAGAAACAGTATCTGGTCTGCCACTTTATGTATTGACATTATCAAGGACGTTTTCCTCTGTTGAGTAAACGTAGAAAAAGAAGAAGAAGAAGAAGATGAAGAAGAAGAAGAAAAAGAAGAAGAAGAAGAAGAAGAAGAAGAAGAAGAAAAAGAAGAAGAAGAAGAAGAAGAAGAAGAAGAAGAAGAAGAAGAAGAAGAAGAACTGGAGACAGATGAATTTTCTGTCTGCCCGTATTATTCAATAGTTAAAGCGTCCTGTTGCCCTTTTCCCCCTATCCCATCGATAATGAAAGACATCTCTTTCCGTCTCGGACATTTGCACAAAAATACATTCTTTCTCTTCAGTGTGAACAGCGCAGTGATCAGAACTTTACGATAGAACTGTTTCCTTTTTTTCTGAACCAGACATACAACCAGCTGCACTTCCTCTCTACCCGAAGAGTCATGAAACCAATTATCGTATCTATGTCTTTGCATATTTTTTGTTTAACTTTATAATTACTCTTAAACGTTTACCCTACACGTATTCTCGATCTGTCTTCTCTCTTTAAACATTCCGAACAAAGACACCCTTCCTTGATAGAATTTGTCTTTTGCCCTCTCTGCCACCAGCCCACCCCTCTCTCCCAGCACCGAAATTCCCATGGTATCGCAATCGATATCCAAGCCCTCTAATGACTCACCGAGTCACAGAATGACAGGGCGAAAGGTGATATTGTGTCCTTTTTAGTGCAAAGATGTATATGAACCACAGAATTTGGAAAATGATTAGAAAGTGCACAATTTGCTTTTCAATAGTATTGTTACACCCAGCGTAGGGTTAGCGCTTCTATAAATTTTGTAGCTTTCACAGATGTTGATAGAATTCTAGGATGATAAACACTTCTTACATCTCCTCTACAAAATTATTGCAAAATGACCGTACTGGCGCGGAAAATGTTCTGTACTTTAGACATTATAAAGACAAAATTATATTTTTTGTGTAGGTGTTTTTACAACCCCATCGACACGATTTACATCATTAAGAAGACAGGCTTCAGACCCTGCCTTATAGGGCCAACTCGGGTTGAGGTACTTGGTAAAAATTTCTCCCCAATAGGGTCTCCTGTGTGCGCCAGCAAAACACCTAATCGCTACACTATAGGCGCC